CATCGTTACGGTCACATACTCGTCCTTCATCAGCGTATGCTTTCGTGATATAATTGACAAATCTCTTATCTTCCGAGCGTGCTTTAGGTAGAAACGAAAAATCCGAATGTCTCGCACGCAGACCACTAGTAGCTTCCGTATTATTTCCTGTTTTAGCCTGATAAGCTAATCTTCCAAACCTACTACTAGCTATCTTAGCACGAGACATAATAAATTCCGTCAATTCGTTAAAATTGGGCTCTCTCTCCTCTTCGTCCCACTTGATTACTAGCTCTGCCCACTGGGCTTGCATTCGACGAGGTAAGAGCCTGACTATTCGTTCTAAAGTATCCATGGAATTAAGTTCCGTTGTGCAATTTAGCTGTTCTAACGTTAAAGCAGCATTCTGCATTTTAATAGCCAAATTCGTCAATGATTCAGGATCATTAAATTCTACATTCCCAGTCCTAAATAAGTCCTCTAAGGTTTCTCGCGCTATTACATGCGACTGTCCAAAGAGCTGTTTTAGAATGGCCTTAGCTCTCTTATATCCTGATTGTGGATCCATAATAATACAGCCTTCAATCGCATTTTTTGCTTTTCCCTTACAATAATGAATTAAATACAATAAACGCACTTGATCATCCTTTATTCGAGGTTCTATAAACGTCTCTATTTGTCGTATGAACCTAAAATAGTCGCGAGACCTTCCATCAAAAAATGAGAGTTCAACCTTAGGTAGTTCTAAACCCTCTATCGATGACTTACAATAATAAATATCAGACATAACATGTGGGTTACCCATAAAAAAGTTATCATTAACGACTTGCCTAGAGCCCTGTGATCCGTCGAGCTCTTCCACCGTCCTCATGTGTGATTTTTTTCGGTTTGACATCATAAATAAAGTTCAGTAGAAAAGGTAACAGATACAAAATAGAGTAATTCCACAGTTCAGTTCAAAATTACGATGAATAATCCAACTTCTTCCTCCAAGGAAGTCTAGTGTGATAAACGATTAAAATTCCAAATGTTTCTTTATAATTCTTAATAATCCGAATAGTTCCAAAATATATACGTTCAGATGAATATTTCCAAAGTATAATCCACGAAAGAAGAAAATTCCAGACTGTAGATTTATTTCGACAGTGGCTGTCCCAATTGTTTCCAATAGAAACACTCCTGTACGTTTTTCCTAGTTCCGGGTCCCGACCAAATCAAAAAGGGCAAAATTCTAGGAGAAAACGTCTGGAATTTGTGTTTCTTCCAGGGTTAAATTACTCCGCAGAGTATCCAACACAATAGCCGATAAGTGAAGCTAAGTCCAGCAGCCACTGCGTCCGTACGAAAATGTGGCGGTAGCCATATTATATCAAATTTAAACAATATATGTACAGTTCAGAAGCAACACAAAAACTTCAATATAAGTACAAATATAGAAAGAATAACAACATACAATGATAAAATCTCAAATTGGAATCAAATAAAATACCAAAAATGTCAAGAGAAAAAGTCCATCATGTCATAGCAAAAATATGTAAACATGGAGGGATTTTCCAAAAACACAAAACATTCAAAAAGAATTCTACACAGGGTTTGATAAACCTTTAGTTGTTAACACATTTTGACCGTGAATCTTAAGCCCAGTTAAACCAGATATCAGATATCAGATGGAATGTCTTTCTTAGCTATAGCAAAACTTGATAGAACGGTAGGTGACTTAGCTAATTCATTTGATGCTTCGAGTGATGCAACATAAGCTTCTGTTAGAGAAGCAGGATGATTAGAAAGAGAACTAGAAAAATTCTGATCTATCGATTTAGTCTGAGGAAGGTTTATTCCATTCATGTTTATTTCAATTTCATCACGTTCATTTAACCTTTGCACTGTGCTTGATATAGCGTTGAATGCTCTACGATCTTCCATATACATAAACGGGTCTTTGGATTCAGTTGAGTACAACTGCTCAAACTTATCTTACAGTTCCTCCTTAGCCGAGAGGTGATTAAGTACACGGTTGTCTGACCCACTATCTAGAAAGGCGCACGTCTGCATGATTCTCTCACCGTTTTTTGTCCTCGCGGGAACTACTGCAAATGCCACCGGCCTCTGTATGCCCTTAACGTCTTCCTCTGTACAAATCTGAGAATTGATGCAGGCATCACTTGTTACGGGAGAAACGAAGACATTTTGCTGATTAAAACCTTCATGTATAAATATCATTAATTTCACTGTTTTTGGGTACATTTGTTTTACTTAACTTGTGAACTTGTTTGAATTATTATTTGCGGACATATTGGACTCCCGTTTCTCTTTGTTGTTCGTTGCAGTTTTTTGCTCCAAGAGATAATAAATTAGAAGGTAATTGTAATTATTATAATTATTGTTGTTAGAACGACATTGGTCGTCTATTTGTAATAAATTATTTTGGTCGAATTTGTGATTTGGAATAAACTTTGGTATCTACTTTGGAGTTTCGTTCTTGGTATAGAAATTTGGGACCGTGAATTACAGATAGACGACAACAGTGCTTCATAAGATCAACGAGCAAAAAACTGGACGTAACATCACTAATAGTATCTCTTCGTTCTTCCCGCTTCTCATGTAAAAGAGTATGGTGTCTCTAGCCACATCCTTCAACAATGCATGACCTCGGCAATCGACAATTCTTTGCTATATGGTTCGCTTTCAGACAATTATTACATAACTTATGCTTAAAGACGAATTCTTTCCCTTCTTTAACAATTTTGTTTTTAAACTTCTGGCATTGATCTAAGGGATGATTGCTTGAGCAATCTGGACAAGGTGAATTATGTAAGGAACTATTGCTGTCATTAATGCTTACATTTGCTACTGTTGCTATATTGTAACTTGAGGCAGCTTTTCATTTTAAAGCATCAAAACCTCCTTTGTCGACATTATCGCTGCTGTTGACAAGCAGGCCGTATCTAGTGTTAGCTATATCTGACTGTTCTTTAACAAATTCACAGAGGTCATTGAATAAAGGCTTCCTACCCGTCTTGAGAATTCGACATGCTACTTTAACCCATTCTCTATGGAGGTGTGTGGAAGTTTTAAAAACATGCTTTCGATGGTTTTTGTAGAATTAAGATCGGACAGGTAGTTCATTTGTGTGAGCGTAAGCTCACAGATATACATCTCACGAGCTAGCCTTCTTAAACTATTTGAGTCGGTCTCCTTAATAGCAGGGATGTTCAACATCTTGTCGATAAATGCATGGGCAACTACGTGTTTCTGACCGAATGCTTCCTCAAGAAGCTCTAACGCTTTACGAAAACCTTCTTCCGGTTGAAGCAATGTACAATGAACAATGGTAGTTTTGGCTTCACCATAACAATATTGAATCAAGTAGTTTAACTTAGATCGAGGTCTGACGGTTTCATCAAAACAATCCTCGAAATTTCGTATGAAACTCCAGTAGTTCATAGGATTACCATCGAACCTTATGATTTCTCGCTTGGGTAGGTCTAAAGCTTTCGATATCATTCCTACCCAGTCGTTTCCTGCATTATCAACTGTACGTGAAACGGATGTAGATTCGTACGACATAACCTTTTCATCCTGGATTTGGTTACAATATTCTCTTCCTCTTTACCGTAACCGTTTTAACTCAATTTCCTTTTCTATATGAGCTAAACGTACTTTAGCTAATTCTAATTCTAACAAAGGATCCATTCGGAAGCTATTTCTTCCAGACTGGTCTTCGCTATGAGTTTCTGAATAGTGTGGAGACAATTCAGGAATCTGATCAGTTTTATGATCCTTGGTAGACATCTGAAAGTAATCAGTATATGAACCTTTGATGAATTACTGTCCGAAACTATGTAGGATTTAGTTTGTCCTACAGATGTAATTCTAAAATGTAAACGCAAATGCTGCCGATGACAGATTCAAGAGTAAATCAGAACAATAAACTTGGGTTTAAACTGTATCTGTTTCTAAACAAAAATAAACGATTAAATTAGTACAATAAATGAGGAAATTACAATTATCAAGCAGGATGAGCAAACGTACCGGACAGTATAGCGTGTCTTTAGAAAATGAATATAAAACATGAGTCACATCTATATAAAATAAAATAACAACATCCTTCAATCGATAATTCATTCACAACAAAGAAAGTTTATAGACCGGTCAGACTAGATGACGTGGTGAGCGCTTAACCAATCTGATTGGTTAGTTATGACATAACTACAATTAGTTATAAAATAACTAACACTACAGGAATAAGAGGAGAATAAATTACAGCATCATTAGTGGTGACCGAGTCGAGATTGACTATGATCACCACTAAGTACTAATTACTATCCCGTCATTTTAAATACTAATAGATCCAGGGTGATGAATATATTTGAAAGAGAAAGTTGGTGATACAATGAGCATCAAGTTATGAAGGATGGCAGCAACGCGAAAAAAGGTCTCGCGTACCTAAGGGTTTTTAGTACAGTTAATCAAAACGAGTGCAGTAATAAATGTTTTCTTTTCAGTAATTGCATTTCCTTCGTAGAGGTGTTTTATTACACATCAATCATGGATGACAATAACGGTAAACCTGAAGAATTTTTAAACTACTTTAGTAATGTATGTATGTGTAATCGCACCTATCCATTCAGCTCATAAAAACCATTCCGTATAAACTCTGGAAACTATGGTCACGAAGGAAGTTGATTTCACGGTATGTAAAATAAGTTTGTTTCGGATAAACACGTGGGACCCGATGAAATAAATCATAGATTACTCAAGGAGCTAGTAGACTTTATTGCGAAACCCTTAGGCACAGCCTTTAATCTATCTGTAACCCGAAGTAGATCACCAGAGGACTAGGAGAAAGCCAAAGAGAAAAAACCCTGAAAACTATTGACCCATAATACTGAGTGGCGTATATGTGAAAATTTTCGAAAAGATCATTCGTTAGGAGCAACGACTGTGAACTCAACATTGCTAAGAATAATAAAGGCCAAGTAACCACTTTTCCTTTCCAAAAAGAATCTAAATAGTAAAACATTGGATATTGTATTTTGAATAGCCTGGACATTCTTTAGCTGCTCGTTGATAGCCCCGCGCGTTCCATATACGTTGATTTGCTAAACCATGCCATCTGGGGCACCTTTGTTTGTCCTTAGTAAGTCCATTCTTCTAGTTTAACTCCTATAAGACCGCACAGCTCGAGGAGAACAAGGCAAATCTGTCCAGTTAGCCAATATTGAAGCAGGAAAAACTGTTGCTGACGTAATAAGAACATGTTTAGGTCCAAGAGCAATGTTGAAAATGCTCATGGACCCTATGGGTGGGATAGTGATGACTAATGATGGAAATGCAATATTGAGAGAGGTTTGAAAATGGATATCTATTTAACTGTTAGATCACTGTCGAACACCCAGCTGCCAAGTCGATGATTGAAATCGCAAGAACTCAAGATGAAGAAGTTGGTGATGGCACTACTTCCGTAATCATACTTAGTATGTTACTATGTTTCTTAAAACCCTGCATTATTAAGGTGGAGAAATGCTGGCAGTAGCCGCTCCTTGTTTGGAAAAACAGGTACACGCTACAAAGATCATATCTTCGTTCCGAAAAGGCCTCGATGAAATGCTTGTATCACTTCGTGAAAAATTCAGGTAATTAACCACAGAGCTTATGTATTCTCAAGTGTTCCATGTGATGCATCGAACGAGCAGGAGGTCAAAAGAATAGTTCAAAGTTGTGTTGGAACAAAATTCATAAACCAATGGTATTAGATATATTTAGTTAAGTTACAGTTAGGTCTGACCTAGCGTGCAAAATTGCTTATGATGCTGTGAAAATCGTAACAGTTGAAACTGACGGTCGTAAGGAAATAGACATCAAACGCTATGCAAAAGTGGAAAAGGTATGATAAGTCGAAACGATATTAGTTTCAGATTCCTGGTGGTTCTGTTGAAGACTCAGTTGTTCTTGATGGTGTTATGTTCAATAAAGATGTCGTACATCCGCGCATGTCGAGAAGAATAGAGAACCCTAGAATCCTGCTAATGGACTGTAATCTGGAATACAAGAAAGGTGAAAGCCAAACAACAATGGAGTTATCAGATGATAAGGACTTCACGTAAGTTGCGTTTGTTATATCTATGTAGCTTTAGTCGTGCTTTAGAAATCGAAGAGTCATTTATTAAGGAAATGTGTGACCAAATTATCCAATATAATCCTAATGTTCTTATTACCGAAAAGGGAGTTAGTGATCTAGCTCAGCACTACCTGAGCAAAGCCAACATTTCAGTCATCAGGCGACTCAGAAAAACGGACAATTTGCGCATCGCCAGAGCATGTGGTGCCACTATCGTTAACAGACCAGAAGAAATCAAGGAGGAAGACATTGGCGTGCAAGCTGGTCTTTTTGAAGTAAAAACAATTGGTGATGAGTATTTCACATTCATCACAAAGTGCAAGGTGAGACTCTCTAGGTATAACCATATTTTTAGAATCCGAAAGCTTGCACCATTCTTCTCAGAGGTGCCAGCAAAGATGTACTCAATGAAGTTGAACGCAACTTGCAAGATGCCACGAACGTGGTTCGTAATGTTGTGCTTGAACAGCGATTAGTTCCTGGAGGCGGTGCCGTTGAAATGGCTTTGGCTCAAGAACTTACTCAAAAGTCAAAGTCAGTCAATTCTGCCGTCCAGCAAATGGTTTACCTCGCCATGGCACAAGCCTTAGAAGTGATACCTAGAACGCTGGCGAAAAACTGTGGTGCTAATGTTCTTCGACTTATCACGGAGTTACGCGCCCGTCATGCCACAGATCCTGCTAAGTACTGGACATATGGTGTGGACGGAGTATCAGGAAAGATTGCCGATATGAAACTACTAAATATTTGGGATCCCTTGACTGTCAAGGCTCAGACTCTGAAAACAGCGATTGAGGTATGTTTACATCCAACTTTTTACTAATTTTTAGACGGCGGTTTTGCTGCTGCGAATCGATGATGTTGTTTCTGGAGTGAAGAAACAATCAGGAGATAATACATCAACACCGCCCACTTCTGAATAAAATCTCTGTTACATCGAGTGTTTGCTAACCTGATATTATATATATATATATATATATATATATATATATATTATTAATTCTATTTGTTTTTTATATTATATGATTTAATCGTATGGCACATTTGTAATTATTCCCTATAATGGGATGAGATATTTTCCGGCCACTACTACAGTTCTCTAGTTCCGATTGGTTAGGATCGTTGCTGTTCAGGAATAGACTTTTCATCGGAAATTCTTAATACGAAGCAAGCTATTTAAATATCTCATGAATAATATCAATTTGTGACAGAAGGCTATCGTATTAGATCAAATAGAATTGTCATGACTCCTTCCAAAACTGTCTGAATATCAAGCATCAGTCAGTGAGCACGTATGCAATTTGACTCTCTATAGAGTTTTTGGTCGTGATGTTACAAGCTTGTACGTCTTCCAAAAAACCGGATGTCAATACGAAATATTATTTACCCATGTATGTGCCAAGCTCCATTGACAAAGCACATTTATACACACCTGGTCATATACGGAACATTATCATTAAATCTAAGCTTCTCTTGTTCACTGCAAAAGGCTAAGAGGCGTTAATTTATTTCGTATTGTTCGTATCATCCGTTAACTAAAATAAAACGTGGGTTTTTGACATGATCCCCCGAAGTACGCTTTAATGCTACTGATGACACCAAGAGTGAAGTGAGATTGCAAATCTATTATGGATAATTTTCATACTGAAAGACTGTCCACATAATCGGTACACAAGAGAATGATCAGTAAATAGTTTTAAAAACCACTCAGTGAGCATGTCTTTTCGTTCAATTCACAAGTACTGTAAGCTTAAGCTTTTATTATCGGAAGTATGACAGAACCTTAGAATCTAGGACAAGAGGTTGGTTATAAATCTTCAGATAATTTCGACCTAACCTGATTGTGTTAAAAAGTCATAGAACCACTTGATATGAGTATATCCAAAGATCGTCGTTTCGTGTCACTGTTTCAATCGTACGTACCTCAGCTCAAAGTACCATACCGCAATAGCACAGAGATGCGATTGTCAGTTAAATTCCATAGTCGTAGAATTACTATCAGTAATCGGAGAGATTAGATTTCATCAGTCACTAAGCCATCGGAACTGATGACAATCCCCAGATAAATGAAGCGGACAAAAAGTTCAACTACTTCATTCGCTACCACTGGTGCAGGTGCCGATATAAGCCAACCCTAAAGTAATAATTTGCTTTTCAAAGAAGAGAATCGCATTGCGAGCATGATTGCATTGTTGCTTGAGGTAGTCAGAAGACTGTATTTTGTCAGCGTCTTCGCCAAATAGGACTATGTCATCGGCATATTCTAAGTCAACCAGTGAATCTCCTGGTAGAAGGTCTACTACTGAAAGTTCAGATGAAGATAATGTTATATCTAGAAGCATGTCTATGATAGAGTTAACACAAGAATAGGGAAAGTGGACATATCTGACGGACACCACTTGAAGTGCTTAATCCCGATGACAGTTCCAGGACCTAACGTAGTGTTAATATCTGGTCTATTCATCCACGTCCAGGTCGAAAACCAGACTGGTTTCCTCTAGTCTGCTTTTCACGAGCTCTAATTAGGCGTCTGAGGTTAACAATTTAGAAACTATATTAGTTAGACTGATTCCCCTGTGATTGTCACAAAAAGACTTTTGTCTTTTCTTATAGATTGGGACAATCAGGGATTGAGACCAGTCAGATGGGATTGCGTCCAGTTACCTGATCCTACCTAAGATCTTAGTCAATCTAGCTGCTGAGACTGGACCACCATCCTTAAAAATCTCAGGGGTCAATCTATCAGGACCCGCTGCTCTCCCCTGCTTCAGAGTTCCTATCGCTTTCTCAACTTCATAAAGAGTCAGTCGACTTGCCATTCAGGTTGACTGGAGATCGTGAGCATCCGAAGGGTGGCTGAAGGCCAATTGAACTGATCCTCAAAGTGTTCTGCCCATATATCCAATCTTCTGGATTGAGACTGAATAATACGGCCATCCTTTTGTGAGATAGTCTCACTTACAGTCAGATTCCTAGTACCTGTTTCCTTGATAAGTCTGAATAGTTGTCTACTGTTGCCCATCGCTGCTGCCTTTTCAATCTCTCGCTTCCTTTACCCACTACTGTTTGCGATCATTGCGTAGGCTTTTTATCATCCTGCGCCTAAGCTGACTCCGCTCCTCATCGCATTCAGAGCCAGTCGGGATGAGCTTTCGAGTATCCATCAATTCGGTAGATGCTACTGAAATTCATCGCTTCTCCTTAACCATATGGTTAACCTTGCTAGTAGATATCACTGCTGTTTCCACAGCCTTTTTGATATCATTCCAAGCTGTCTCAAGGTGGGGACCACTTACCTGGCCGCCTAACTGTTTTTCTAATTGTCCCCGAAATATATTCTTAGCTTTAAGTGGAACTCTAGGAGGTTTCCTTGGTGTCTTTATCTCGTCCAGTAAAACGCAAACAAATGCGCGCTCGCACCAGGGCATGATCTGAATCTAGACATATTCCCTCTATCGGTGCTGATGGCAATGTCATCTAGTTGGGTCCAACGTTGAGACGACTTCGGGGGTCGCCAGGTCAAGAGATGCTTTTCCTTATGCCTAAACTTAGTGTTTGCTAGAAATAGGCGGTCATCTGAGCATAGACGGCCGCCATTATCTGTTTGTCGAGCCGCGAAAGCATTAGGTCCAACTAGGTGTATTTCATTTTCACTTATTCTACCTACTTGAGCATTAAAGTCACCAGCCATTAATACTACATCAAAGCGCCTAGCTTTTCGGAGGAGGTTCAAAAGCTTTATGTAAAACTCATCATTCATCTCGTCTGAACTGCAGTCAGTGGGTGTTGTAGGCAGATTTGACGAAGAGGCAACGGCGAGTGTCCCTATCTTTCCTGGTCCTTACTGTCCCGTTTAGTCGGACAGCGCACAAGTGACTATCTACTGGGATCCAGTCTAGGAGAGATTGTTCAACTCTACGACTTAATGCTAAGCCTACTCCAGCAAGACCCCTGGAAGCAGCATCAGGACCTCCAGGTACACGAAGAGTAAATCGAGCTGCTTCTTTATTTTGACAAGAAATCAAATAATGACTTTACTAGGATCTTGCATGCGCGTTCCCGAGACGCAGCATACACCGATGGTGCGAGATTTTAATGTCATATCTAGGGAAGCCTGTTGCCCTATTTGACACAATGTCCGTACATTAAATGCCCCAATATGTAGTTTAGAACGGGTTTAAGGGAAACCAGGGACGACGTTTCGTGAACTCGCATCGTTTGCATTAGCGGTGCAGTGAGATCAAGCAATGTGAGAAGAGTTGGGAAGGCAGCATCGCTGCGGATGCTGTGTTCTCTTAAATCCTAAGCTTCTGGATCCCTCATCACCTTTATCGTCCGCTTTTTTAAATTTACGCCACTGGATTATGCCTCTTGAATAATATCTTTGAACCGTAATCTTGTCCATTACCACTAATACTTCTACCACATATAGCATTATGAAATTTGAAATGGCGATTTCATCTGTGCTAGTGTGGTATGGCAACTTGAAATGATGTACGTATGTAGAATGTTTTACGTTGTAGCTGACTGACTGACCATCACAAAAGTGATTTTCACAACCCTTTGCCTATTAAATGTGATTCCATTTCCGCTCACTGACTGCTACTGAGGACTCACTGTGACTGCTTATAATTGTTTGGAATATTGTCTACCGCATTCTATGGTTCTTCAATTTGGTCGTGAACCATATATCTTGTTTAACGTGATCTAGTCTTCATATAGTGTCTCTTTCTAAGACCTAATTTAGTGGAAGTATAAATTGCGGTCACCCACTTAGTGGCTGTTTACGGAAATTCTATCCAAACTATCCATAATATCACACACGAAAATCTTTAAAACAAGAACAGAAATAAAACATTAATTTAGATGGTGAGAAGATTATTTAAAAATCACACATTATTAAGCTTTTGGAATGGACAATTAAATTTTCAATAAATGATATGCCATTTCAGAAGGAAAAATTACACTAATTCATCCAGTTCCGTATATGTGAACTAATATCAACATTACTTTTAGTTAATTTTCGTTTTATGTAGTCAACGCATATCTTCGATTAATTACCGCTGAATTTTAGTACTTATCGTCCCATTAATTTATCTCAGTTACAGTTTCCACCATTTCGTTCTAAGTTTCTAAAGTTATCCTTAAAGTATGAAAAATTGAATCTACACACACTGCATCACATCTCTTACGTAGTTTGCTATAGCATTACTAAAAAAATTCAATGGGATTTGAAATGGCTTTGATTATCTCACTGTTCACATTTTTTTTACCAAGATTTGATCACTCTTGGTTAGATGATCGAAACTATTTTAGATTGAATTAAACCCTGTTTTTGTTGCACAGGTGAGTAGCTATATGAACTCAGTAGCTAACTGGACAACGTGCGTGCAGGAACTCACTACTAGTCAAATTAGATTTATTTCATATCAAATAAATAATTGTGTAGAAATTCAGTAAATCATTATCATCATACACTTATTCCCCAATAGAGGGAGGGAGTGGTTGTGAAAGAGAAAATAAGACAAATATAAATACAACAATAGCAGTGTCAACCACTATAACTCAATGTGTAAATTATTTGAAATTAGACAAAAAGTCAAGAAAAAAAAGGAAGACAGTATTTTAAATAAACGCATGAATCTTAGCTGATTATGCACATATACACGCCCAGAAGCTTATTTTAGAAAAAAACGATAACAGAGGACGATTTAAAGCAATGTTAACTATTGAATATATATATATGTACAAATAGTGTTCAGAAATAACAAATCACAAGCAAGAGAGAAAGAACGAAGGGGCGATGCAGAGTTAAATATCTTTTTAAAAAATATACAATAGAATAAACAAGAGGTATAATATCATTATTTCACAGATACTTTTATCAAAGGTTGCCTGAATGGAAATCCAATAATGATTTTCATTAGTCATACCAAAGAAATATTAGTTTAAGGAAAAATTATGGCAGACAAATGTTAAACTCCAAGATCATTACATCACAGGGAGGAACTAATTAAATTCATAGGTTTAACAAAGCAAATGAATGATTTGTATGAAATAAGAAGTTGAAAGATTTACAATCAGGAGTAAATAAGGTTTGGCGACACTAGTTAAGCACATAAATCTATGTAGGATCAGCGAACGAAAATTATCTCATTTTTACCATGATTTGTACCGAATCATTTCAAGGAACAGCTGAAAGCAAATCGTGGACTTCATTCTCTTCAAGATATACCAGCCTGTAAGATGCATGCTAAAATGGAATAAAAAAAAGTATAAAAATCAATTAAACATTCAAATAAATAGTCCGCCATAATAGTCAAAGAGCTTACCATTAAACAATAGGGGTTTTGTGATTGAATCTAGAGTGGGACTCTATTATACATATGCAATATTTATCTGACGGTAACTAGTGTTAAGCATTCTTTCTTTTAATGTCCTAACAACTTTACTAAATGCCAACTTTAGACCAACAAAGCAATTAGGTGGATAAATCGTGTGGTTAACTTGGGAGTTGACAGCATAAGATGAATGTAAAGTTGGGGACAGCTTTCTTAGCAAATCATAAACACTACCAAGGCAACTACTCAGATAGTAGTAGAAGATTGAATATGGACCTAGCCAATTTCCGTTATACCAGCTTACAGTGGACAGTATTTTCAATCGACAACGACAATCTGGTTGCAAGTAAACACGGATAATGAGGAAGGAACTTACTTACGCCAGTTACCCCCAATGGATCATAGGCCGCCCACCAGTTTTCTCCAACCAACTCTGTCCTGGGTTTTCCTTTCCAACCCTGTCCAATTTTTGTTCATTCTTCTCGTATCTTTCTCTATTTCTCGGCGTAATGTGTTCCTCGACCTTCCTCTTTTCCTTTTGCCTTGAGGGTTCCAAGTGAAGGCTTGTCTTGTGACGCAGTTAGGTGCTTTTCGTAGTGTGTCCTATCCATTTACACCGCTTCTCCCAGATTTCCTCCTTCGCATGAATCTGGTTTGTTCTCTCCCACAGTACGTTGTTGCTGATGGTGTCTGGCCAACGAATCTGAAGTATTTTGCGTAGACAACTGTTAATAAACACTTGCATCTTCTGGACGATGGCTTTGGTAGTTCTCCAAGTTTCCGCTCCATACAGTAGAATTGTCTTGACAGTTGTATTCAAAATCCTGATCTTGGTTTTGGTTGAAAGTTGTTTGGAGTTCCAGATATTTTTCAACCGTAGAAATGCAGCCCCTGCTCTGCCAATCCGCGCCCTCACAATTGAGGAAGGAAAGAGTTTCTATATTTAACAGTTTATAAGTATCAAACAAAATTTTTAGATAATAGTGTCTGACTTTAACATGCAAATAACATCCAGTATCGATTTATCTAGGGCATCTACCAATGATAAAACGCATCAGCGCAGTTAGTAGGAATTGGCCAGATTTGAGATAATACCGACACCGATGATAGAAAAAAACCAGTCTCTTTATGACATTTCTCTGATATCCGAATGAGTCACAGAAGCGAAATAAAGCATCAGAGCTGGTATGTGGAAGACACTGTTCGTACAAATGAAGAGTGGTCAAGAAGAAGGACCAGACAACATACCACTTGAGGCACTGAAAGCAGACATAGCAGTAATTGCAAAGATGTTTAACAGTCCCTTCAGCAAGATTTAGGAGGGAGAAGAAAAACTTGACTGGAAGATACCTCACCAAGATAACAAAGAGAGATCTGAGCAAGAATGAGGACTACAGAGCCACCACTCTACTCTCAATACCAGGAAAGCCTTCAACAGTGTTGTTGAACAGAACGAAAGATTCAGTCGACACAACTGCCAGACCAGCCGGTTGGATTTAATAAATATCGACAGTATACCGACTATATCGCGATACTACGGATCATTGTGGAGCAATCAACTGAATGGAATTCAACACTATACATCACTTCTTTGACTGCGAGAAAGCATTTGACAGCATGGACAGGGTGACACCACGAAGGCTTCTTCGACATTACGGGGTGCCTGAGAAGATAGTCAACATCATTTTGAATCCTTATGATGGATAAAACTGCAAGATCATGCATGGAGGACAGCTCACAACTCACAAATGAAGGCTGGTGTGAGACAAGGTTGCTCACCCTCACCCTTTATCTTTCTCCCGGCGATCGATAGTATTATGAAAACGCCGACATCTCCGGGAAATAATGGAATACAGTGGATAGCTCAGATGCAGCTGGACGATTTAGACTTCGCATACGATCTAGGTCTTCCACCACACCCACAGCAACGAATATGGAACAAGAAGGCCAGTGAAGCAGCAGTAGGACACAAGATACATGAGGGAAAAATCAAAATTCTCTTAAATAACACAACATACACCAACCAAATCACACTTGATGGAGAAGCTGTGGAAGATGTAGAAACCTTCACATATGTGGGTAGCAACTTTGATGAGCAAGGTGGATCTGATACAGATGTGAAGGCGCGGACTGTCAAGGCAAGGACAGTATTTGTACAATTGTAAGACATTTGGAACTCGAAAGACACAGATGTTTATTAACAGTTTGCCAGACACCATCAGAAACAACCTACTGTGTGAGAGAAACCAGATTCCAGCGGACGAATAAATTAGATGAAAGTGTTGGTGTATAAGACATGAGTTTCAGAAGTCATCCAACTGCATCACGAGGCAAGCCCTAACCTGAGACTCTGAAGGCCAAAGGATAGACATGGAAAGAATCGATAGCAGTTGGGTGGAACTGGAAAGGGAGGCCCGGGACAGAGTTGGTTGGAGAATGCTGGTCGAAGGCTTATGCTCCATTAGGAGCAACAAATGTAAGTAAGAGGTATACTTCTTGAATCATATATTTGATCCCTAATCTTTTCCATTAATACTAATGCTGTTACAACCTCTAACACTATGCGATTTGGATTGACAATTCTATATCCCTGTGCTAATGAGGTACTGATGCCCGTACGTATCATATTCTACGTTGTTGCTGATTGGTTAATCCCAATGAGTGATAAGTTAGTATATAAATTTATTTTAACATGAGAAAGTTATTTATTTTCTTAAGAAACAATGTGCTCCTAGACGCAAAACAATAGGAATTGATTGATATATTTACAAATATATCATATTTTTGTATCAGCAAGGGAGTCTAAGACAGAATAACGTTCATCAGTCAATCATAACCAAAATTAAAACATGCCACGAATGTGCACCAGGTTTAAATGCAATACAGAATGAAATGAAACCAGCAAGATGAATACCAAAAGTAATGGTTTCAGTGACAGTAAAAAAGATGACACAAGAAATATGATACAAATTCACGGAACAAAAAAGTACAAAGTAAATGTCTTTACTATATTCTGGACTATTCCGAATCCTATAATTTAATGTTTCTAACCAATGGTTACGATAATGACGCCGACCACAACCAAGTAGTCTGCACCTAACTATATGGCTCAGTTACACTGATAGATTAATGCCATGTCTTGGCTGATCTAGCCATAGCTATTCTTTTTAACCTAATTATGTACCAGCGAACATCATGATTCAAGTGGTTACAAAGACCGCTGTCAACAAAGATTTACAGCTTCAACAACTAACTGACCAAATTCGCTTACCACCCTACGTCTAGCTTTGCACCATTCATTCATTCATCCCAAAATACACACACCTATAATTATATACCAATAACCTACGAATATCTTCTGTTTTCGAGGGCTGCGTTTCATGGTCATAAAGTAGTATGGATAGAAGTGCTGCGAAGTATACCTGTCGCTGAATAAATACAAAATTTCGCTTACGCCGTAGTTTGTAAAATCAAACAGAGCTTTCTGAATCCATGCCGAGATTCTATCAAACACCAAATTACTGGGGTATGTCAGACTTTCAAGATAGATGAAGCGGGCAACACATTTAAGTACTTGACTCTTACCACTAATTTAGGTGTTAACGTAGATGGTTATGAAGGTACGTTTCACCTTTTAGGAGGGAGAAAAGCATCCCAAATATGTGCAGTGATCAGAAGATATTGCAATTTGAATCTTCAGCAATCAAGACTATGTTATCTGCATTTCCGAAGTCGATTAGAAAATCTTCTGACAGGATATCAATTCCTGAAAAGTTAGACGAGTTTTATCTTTGAAAGAATGACTGGACTGAATTGAAATAAAAATTTGTAAAATGGAAAGCCTTAACTAAGGGTATTTGATATTTCAAACACTGGTTAAAATCGCCATAAGCTCTGATTCGACTAACAATGTTTGAGCAAAATGGCCTCATAATGTTTGCGTATTCCTTCAGAATATGTAAAGACAAAGACTTTCACAAAACTTATCGATCAGCGGAATTGAGTGACATCTTGAAATCAGCAATAATCTAGGAAGTCTCAAGTTATTCAAAAATCCAAGTACGTATACTGATGGTGATAAGTACAGAAATACGAAAATAGAGAATTAATGGCAGAATGTCAAGTGAACAAGCAAATAGGAGTCAACTTACAATTATAATGTTGAGTATTCAGTAGTAATATAAGGCACATTATGCGTTGTAGTTGACGGAACCTTAATATGATTAGATTGAAAATAAGCAGTTCTATTAGGTATTGATAAGTTTGATACAGTTGATGACGTCAAAGGAGGTGGAGCCGGTAATCTTGATACGGCAGTTTGCATCAATAACTGGTTGTGTGTTGGATAAACTGAGACTGGTTGAGATACTAAACATCCCGTTGAATATGTTGAGGAATTATAGGGATGATGAGAAAGTGAGTCAGACAATGCGTAAACTGGATTACCAAAACCAGACATAGATGGAAGGGTAGCTGAAGAAGTTCGAGAATACATATGTTTATTATCAAATGACTGTGATGGCAGTTCATGATTGTAAGGTATGTTGTCAGAAGAAAGACTGTACAAATCTTCTCGAAGTATATCCGGATCCTGTTTTAAAGTTTCAGTAATGTAATGATGATTACCAGTTGATAGAGGGACATTAACTGAAGCCATTACATCAGGATCAATGATCAGACGACCAGCATCTTCTTCTTCAGATTCATCCTCAGAAAATGTAGGTATATCAACTGTATCAGATAAAATTCCTGAAACTTTAAGATCCGGAAATACATGTGGGAATTGAGTTAAGAGTTCTGAATGTGTAGCACTAAATGTTTTATCAAAGTCCTGTGAATCAATAGTTGATATATTTGACTCTGGAATAACTTCGGATGTACATGAACTTACGGCATCTTGTTTCAATGAGCTTTCAAGAATTTGATGTATTTTGTTTTCGGTAATTGAGACATCTAGATTTGACGATGAAGAAATATTAACTTCATTTTCATAAGGACTTTGTGCAATATTGCCTAAAATCTCAGCGCACTTAGGCTTATTTTTTGATTTCGGCTTCGAAAGAATGATTTTCAAACGAACATTAGACTTAGAATTCGTTTGAGAAGAATCGTATTCTTCTGCTAATCCTTTTTTATCTTCCGAAATATTAGGACGAGCCTTACGTTTAACATGTTGCTTTGATCTACGCTCAGATATTAAATGGGATTTTAATTCTAACGATGTGGTGACTTCACCTCCCATGTTATCAGAGGCAGTTTGACCTAAGGATGCACTCGAACGATCAACAACTGCACATAACATTGAATTTCCTTGTTCCACACGAGATGCTTTAGTTTTACCTTTTCTTATTTTTCTATTAGGGTGTTTACTTTGTTTTGTAGTTGCGTTCACTTCTACATCAAGAATGGGTAGTGATGATGCAGTTTGTGAAACATGTAACTCTTTGGAATCATCAGCAACAGGAATTTCAGACGATTGTTGAGATAAAGATTGCTGGTGTATTGTATCACTTACGATTTCGTGGTCCCAATCACTTTCACTATCAGTAGAGTGAGTTTCTTGTCTTTTCTCCGCCGCTTGTTTTGCTTCATTGACTGCCTGGCGGAAAACTCCACGTTTCTTTTTGTTATCAAATCGTTTACAATGTTCTAGGAAATGAAACAATTTATCACACGGCATGTACGACACCTGATGCCAAGCAAACCAATGAAGGCAGGCAGTATAACAAACTTGATCTGATGTTGAAAGTGGAGATGACTTTTCTTGGGAATCCGCAATGGTGCGTGCTTGCTCAGCATTTGATAGATCATTTTCACTAGCAGCTACGCGTTGTATGCTAGTAATTTGTGCAGGCCAGTAGGGCCATCCTGACAGTTTGCTCCAAACTAGGTCGCCAACACGAAAAACAATACCGTCATGTAATTTACAGCGTTTCACTAAGGGACCTGATACCATTAAACTATCGTAGGTAGATCCCTTATTTGAAGAACCAATTGATGGTGTCGGTGATGGTGAACGTAAACCATTGCAAGGGATGTCCAACTTTAAAGCAGGAGCAGACGGATTTGCTGTTGAGCTATTTTCTTCATTCAAAACTTTAGAAGCGGGAGACAATTCCGAATGTGAAACAGTTTGGAACTTTACTACTTCATATTGTGTTGGCACAGTTTTAGAAAACCCAGAAGGTTGTCTATTACGATTAATTTTAATTTTTATTACAGGAAGAGCAAGACCAGAACTATCACTCGTCGGGGTTAAGCATGGAGACACATGAGATTTAGATACCGACTTTTGGTCAGTAATTTCCGAATATTTTTCAGATTGTGAAGGGTCACCTGGCTCACTGTTACGAGAGCTTAACGATCCATTATGTAATTTTACCTTAGAAGATACACTGTTATTGCTTTTCGAAGTATTTTCGTTAGGACTAACATTAAGTCCATCGCCTGACCGAATTCGCAGCCGGTTTAAATTAGAAAATTGTGTACTAGATGAGGTAGAGTTATCCGTATCTATATTACTGGATGAAGTTGAAATATGATTTGTTACAGTGGAACTAGGATTACAGTTTCGTTCTTCTTGACTCCTTCTGGCTCGAGCCTCACGCATCCATCTGTTTTTTGGCTTTTCGTAATCAATAGCTTTACGTCGACCTTGTGGAGAAAAATTACTCTCACCCGTAGGAACCCCAGAACTGTGTGAAGCAGAATTGTGTCCAGACGTAGATATTTTGCAAGTCAGCTGTGCGGAAGCGGAATGCTTTTCCTTAGATGGGCTCGACAAACGTGGGCTTATACTGTTCGGGATATTTTCATTTTGTGGAAAAACTCCATCAGGAGAGTCACTAGTTAGAGTTTCATTCATCTCCGAACAATCTTTTTCAGCATTTACAGGATTAGAAGGACACAGTGAGTCTGAAGTTACAGAAAGTAAGTTTAGCTGAGTACGAGTACGGTATCGAGAATTTTTTCGTACAATAGGACTTATTTTTGTAGATGTTATTGTACTTATTTCTGATTTTTCAAGATGTCTGTGAGCGGCATTCGATTCGATTTTTAGTCTGCTATCAATATTGGAGTTCACATTTCCAACCGCTTGTTTAGAAGGGGTTTTAGCTTTCTTCCCGAATGGATAGCGAAACGGAGAGGTGACAGATACATATTGAGCTTTAATTCGGTTTTTGCGAATTTGATCCTGAGACGAAAGAAAATCAGTAGAATCCGTCTTACAGGTTAGGCTTGGAGAAGTAGGAAAGTCTTTGTTTTCCTCCGAGGAGATAGGTACTGTAGAGTCAGACGATGAATCTGGATTAACCACAGGTGGTGTTGTTTCCAGCACTGTATTACTGGCATTAGTCTGTTCAGTGGGTTTCTGAGAACTTAGTTTAATCTTTTTTAGTTTTTGCTTTTCGGAATTAACATCAACCTTCCGTTTCTTTGGCATGACTAACTTCGGTTCTAACGATTCTAGAGTTTTGGTTGAGTGGTCGGAAATAAAATGCTTTTTAGATTTTGATCGGATATCAGAGCTGGAATCAATATCTGATTTTGTTGCATGATCTATGTTTATTTTCATTTCCTCATTGAGTTTAGGAATGATAGGTGGAGTAACGTGACGAATAGACTGAGAATTCCCATTGAGTGCCACTAGTGTTATTCGGTCAGAAAGGTCGTTTTTTGAAAGACAATGATTGATTTCGCTGTCTGAATTCAGAGTAGATGAATCGTAAGTGCGATGATCCATCTGATCGGCGAGGAAGGAAGAGGAAAGTTCCGTACCATGTTCTTCTAAATGGAACGCTTTCTTACATTTGCGACAAATAAATCGCCGAGGTCGTAATATCCGAGACAATTGTGGAGCTGGTTGGTTGCGATGGCTTCGTTTCGTTGGATCAGGTTGGAAGACATTTAAACTTGAAGGCTGACCTTCCAATTTGTAAGAATAACGTTCTGTTGAACAAGGAATAGTTTTAAGGTTTATCCCTGATGATGTTCCACTTAAAGGAGGCCAAAATGATGCACTGGTTATTCTTTCTAAATTTGTCCCAATTTCATTGAACTTCCTACAAAAAACCAGGACATCAAATTTAGAGAAATATTCAAATTTTTAACATTTTGAGGATTTCACCATCAAAACAATGATATAAACGATAACAAAATTCTTACAGTTTGAAGCCCAATTGAATAAAATATGATCAGCAATTACACTCTAAAATGAGTCTCGGAATGATGTGGTTCAGACAATACACTTAGTTTGGTCACGTTCAGTTATGTTTACAGCGTGTAATGACTTTCCGATCCTTCTTACTCATGAGAAAAATTAGTACAGCTAATAGCAGCAGATTACTGTTGAGAATGCCAAAAACTAGAAAGTCATACAATTTCGTATGTATATTATCCCTACCGCTTACGGAGCTTTTTCCATCCATACATCGTTTCTATTAAAGGATTGGTGTGATTAAGACCAGTGATAATTTATTCTAGTCTCTTTAAAGATCACGGCAATTTTGTGATACTTCCTTATTGTTCATGCTAAAAACACTCGTGTGATTCAGGAATTTGATTTCCCTACTGTACGACTACGTGAGTTGAGCTTTTATTTTTGATAAAATCTATCACCAACAACATTATGTATACTAATCAAAGCACCTACTGGATATAAGTTAAACGTTGACTTTACCAACTACTTCACTCTTTTAAAAAGCAACCAATGTTTCTTTGAATACATATTCGATATGAAGGTAAGTCTGTGAAATGAAAACAGAGGAATACCCAATATAACATACAAATGGTTAGACGAAAGTATAAACTAAGGACCATTTGTTTTACACCAGATTTAAACAGGGTTAACTTATAAACCCTAAATGCAAAAAGGAATTACTGCAGATGAATTTCCGTCATACAATTACCCCGATTGTGAATGGATTGTGAATGATACATTTCCAACTGTGCCTGCAGACCCTTCGGGGCTACTGCCGGTCCCAAGCTCGGATAAACGAGGAGGGTTAGGATGTGGGTTGGGTACTCAATACCGGAAAAACTAACTTGCCAAAAAAACGTTAACAAGAAAAAATAATTCAAACCATATAAACCCCACTCTGAAAGTCTTCATTTAGAAGAGCTGTGACGTTTGTTGAAGAACCGAGTTCCTTCAGAAGTCATGGGGCCGATGACCCTTGTGACAACCAGAACCATTCCACAGATAATGGCGACCGTCTGCTGCAACTATGCTCAGAAAACCGCCGATTCCTAGCAAACACTAACTTTAGTCATAGGGAAAAACCATCTGAACTGGCGACTCCCAAAGCCGACCCTACTAGAGCACATCGCTATAAGTCATCAATGGAGGGGTTCGATAGAGGACTGCCGCTCATCCTGGAGCGCTTGTTTAGATTCAGGCCACCCCCTAGTGCGAGCGCGTATTTGTTTGCGTTTTACTGGACGAGAGAAAGGCACCAAGGAAACCTCCTAGAGTTCCACTTAAAGCTAAGAATATATTTCGGGGACAATTAGAAAAACAGTTAGGCGGCCAGGTAAGTGATCCCCACCTTGAGACAGCTTGGAATGATATCAAAAAGGCCGTGGAAACAGCAGTGATATCTACTAGCAAGGTTAACCATATGGTTAAGGAGAAGCGATGAATTTCAGTAGCATCTACCGAATTGATGGATACTCGAAAGCTCATCCCGACTGGCTCTGAATGCGATGAGGAGCGGAGTCAGCTTAGGCGCAGGATGATAAAAAGCCTACGCAATGATCGCAAACAGTAGTGGGTAAAGGAAGCGAGAGATTGAAAAGGCAGCAGCGATGGGCAACAGTAGACAACTATTCAGACTTATCAAGGAAACAGGTATTAGGAATCTGACTGTAAGTGAGACTATCTCACAAAAGGATGGCCGTATTATTCAGTCTCAATCCAGAAGATCGGATATATGGGCAGAACACTTTGAGGATCAGTTCAATTGGCCTTCAGCCACCCTTCGGATGCTCACGATCTCAAATCAACCTGAATGGCAAGTCCACTGTCTCTTTATCAAGTTCAGAAAGCGATAGGAGCTCTGAAGCAAGGGAGAGCAGCGGGTCCTGATAGATTGACCCCTGACATTTTTAAGGATGGTGGTCCAGTCTCAGCAGCTAGATTGACTAAGATCTTAGGTAGGATCAGGTAACTGGACGCAATCCCATCTGACTGGTCTCCATCCCTGATTGTCTCAATCTATAAGAAAAGACAAAAGTCTTCTTGTGACAATCACAGGGGAATCAGTCTAACTAATATAGTTTCTAAATTGTTAACCTCAGACGCCTAATTAGAGCTCGTGAAGAGCAGACTAGAGGAAACCAGTCTGGTTTTCGACCTGGACGTAGATGAATAGACCAGATATTAACACTACGTCAGGTCCTAGAACTTAGACACTCATTCCGACGCCCCACAATAGTAGTATTTCTCGACCTTAAGTCGGCATTCGACTATGTTGATCGTGAGGTTTTGTGGCATTGCCTGTCATTAAGAGGTGAACCAAAGAAGTACACTAACTTTATACAAGCTCTCTACTCACACACCACTGTTCGGGTGAGAGCATATTGCGAACTGTCATCGGGATTAAGCACTTCAAGTGGTGTCCGTCAGATATGTCCATTTTACCCATTCTTGTGTTAACTCTATCATAGACATGCTTCTAGATATAACATTATCTTCATCTGAACTTTCAGTAGACCTTCTACCAGGAGATTCACTGGTTGACTTAGAATATGCCGATGACATAGTCCTATTTGGCGAAGACGCTGACAAAATAGTCTTCTGACTACCTCAAGCAACAATGCAACCATGTTCGGGATGCGGTTTGCCCCCTCGAAATGCAAAAGATGCTTCAAGGTTGGGTTGCATCGGCACCTTAACTGGTGATAGGGAGTGAAGTAGTCGAACGTGTATCTGGGGAGGCTCATCAGTATTGATTGTCTGGTGACTGACGAAATCTCAGCTCGGATACAGAAGGCTCGATTGGCTTTTGCCAACCTGCGTCACTTATGGCGCAGGCGAGATATCCGCTTGTTAAACAAAGGACGAGTGTACTGCGCAGCAGTTCGCTTTGTCCTGCTATACGGATGCGAAACATGGCCGTTAAGAGTAGAGGACATTTGTAGGTTACCAGTCTTCGATCATTGGTGTCTCCGAAGCATTGCTCGTGAATCCTGGGACGACCGAGTAAGCGATGCTATCGTTAGGAAACGAGTTCTAGGTAGGGATGGCAAATCAATAGATGAAGTAGTGAAACTTCATCAGTTGAGGTGGTTGGGACATGTGCTGCGTATGTCTAACCACCGACTGCTTCGTCGAGCTATATTTTGCAGTGTAGGAATAGGTTGTACGAAAGCTAGGAGCGACCAGACCAAAACATGGCAGAAATCCATGAAGTCACTGACAAGTGGATTGAGTCATGTTGGTAGGTGTCGACTACCTGGTTGGGGTCCGCGAGATGTTAGTAATCGATGGTTAAAGACCCTGAATAACATGTCTCAAAACCGTTTGCAATGGCGCAGGTGCATTCATTCGTTGTGTTCTCTCAAATCTAAACTTCTTAATTCTTCATCACTTTATCTTTCTGAGTCTATTTCACTAGATTCTAATTCTTGAATAATATATCCTAATCCTAACCTCTCCGACTACTGCTAATACCTTTACTACCTCTACTACTATGGGTATTGAATTGACAATTATATCTCTGCTAACATGGTATGGCAACATGAACTAATGTTCGTATGTACGAAGTTCTACGTTACTATTGATTCACAAATACAGCGTGGTGAGTGGTTTGACATATAACCCTATATACCAACACCAGGATACATAATCTGGTGCGCTCACATCTATGCCCCATAACGAGATGCAGTCTTCTATCGAACCTCTCCATCAGTGGCTGATAGTGAAGCAATCCACTTGGGTCCAGAGTTTGGACGACTTTTGGGGTCGCCATGTCAAAAGTTATTTTTCCTTATGCTTAAAGTTAGTATTCGCCAGAAATAGGCGGTTAGCTAAGCAGAGCTGCAATAGACGGTCACCATTATCTGTTCTGTGGGCCACGACACCGTAAGATTAACCCAGGTGTCTTCCCTTTTCACTTAGTCTACCTACTTGAGCATTGAGGTCATCAGCCACTATTACTATATCAGAGAGACATTTTTAGTATTTTTCTAGAAAGTTACTTTTCACATAGGTGCCTGAACTATCTCAAGACGAAGAAACAACTGTTAACCTAATAAATATTTTGATTTGTCCGGAACAACCAGGTATAATGACTCTTTACTGAGTCAGTGTTCGTCTTCGGCTATCCATAATGCTAACCTTAACTAAGCGCAGGATGAAATAACTGGCTAGAAAAGTTAAAGCGACTGTATCGTGGTATAGTCCTGTCTGTCACTTAATGTGATAGCTAGCTATTAGTAAACTTTTATTAAAAGAAAGCTGACGCCATTAGTTTATTTTTCAAAATCTGAATCATGTACCATAATCAGAGACTCAAAATTTGGCAAAAACTAAACCTGTCATTGGCACAATCGTTAGAAGAGACGAAACTGTATTAAAAACAACCGGCCGATCGCATTTATTTTTTTGTTGTTGAAAAGACGGAAACTAATTCAGATCGACGAAACCAACAAGACGTATAAGTAGCACTCAGCACGTACTATGAAAGGTGAACCAATCAGCAAAAATGGTAAGAGAATAGTCATTTAAGATCAACTCATTAACCAGGTATCTGGTTATGAGCAACATCACATATGTAGGAGCTAATGATACCAGTCAGTTTCCCAGACCGAAGTAGTTGGGAGGGGTTTGAATCTCGGACAGTGACTGGGAGCCCAGTGGATTAATTTCCAAGCCACTATTTTGTAATAATCAAGTAAATAGTAAACGAAACAGAAAAAATCTAAAAACAACCATTCCATTTTATACACTTTGAGAAGTGAGACAATTGTAAAAGCAGTTCTACTACTCACATTAAGGTTCAACGCCGGGCTGTATGGAGGATAGCGTGAACAAATTACTTAGTTTAACGTTCTCTTCATCTCGGATTTAAACAGAGTAAACTAGTAATTGGGTGCTCGTATAACCAACCAATTGACTTGCCGTATATTACCTCACCAAGTCGAATCAATCGATATTATGAAGCTTAGCTATCAAGTACAGGTTTATACAACACGCTTTAAACAAAAGTGAAGATCACAGGTGATAAGTGAAAAAACCTTGCATTTCAAATGTGATTCGACAGTCAGACATAAGAAGCGTAGGACCTAGTACATACATGCATCGGTTACCATACCATATCAGCATAGAGAGGTGAAATAAATTAGGACATGCTAAGGCAGTAAAGTAGTATTGGCTGTTGGAAAAACCACATAAACAATACCATCCGAGAAGAGTGAATTCATAAAGAAACAATGGGAGACTGGATAGTTGAAATTCAGATACTTAGTCCAATTAACCACAACTTCACTCTAGTTCATATCTTTGAGATATGCTTTAGCGAATTTGTTCACTATTTTTAAGGATTTGAGAAGGTAAAACATCATCTCTTTTCACATCAGCCTATTCGGCCAGTCTGCCTCACATATGTGTGAAGTTACATTGGTCACATCTGAGACTGAAACGTCCAGCATGAATGACACCTTGCTTTTAGTTGGAATTCTACGTGTACATAGCACGGAGATACAACAGGCTAACTACGAATAATATATTCCACATAGGTTAATCGACGGAAACCCGTGACTAAAAGCGGTTTACAATTGTCCACACATGGTTAACATAGCAGATAAATCAACAAGAACGGAAGGTATTCCGATTACACTAGTACTACTAGACCAACGAAGTAGTGGCACTAAATTTCTTAATTTTGTCATGAGAAAGTGTCTCATCCAATAAAATTTAATACCTAACGTAAGTAAAAACTATCCGACAATACCTGGGTTGTGAGCATCAACTACTTTTGCGATTACCTAAAGCCTGCATCAGCTTGATCTGATGACATGAATAGAATTTGACGACATAAACTGACAAGAAAACCCTTCGCAGATTAACATGATTACACGTGTGAAGCAAGCTAAACATCCTAGGAAGAAACACAAAAACTCATGATATCTGATCATATGGGACACCGAATCTGTGAGCGAAAATACAGAGCAAGTACAATCAAACCAATGATTTCACATGCACTCGATTGATAGATGAGGGCAGTAACTATACGATGCTCATAAATTTCGAAACGAGCTGTTAAATTTTAGTACTCAGTCAAATTATTAGGGACTCATAGCAGTGCTTAAAGATTAGAGAGAAAATTTGAAAGGAGTAACAAACACTGTTTTGAAAAACCTATCAAACTACCCTACCCAATAGTTTCTTGTAGTAATATTCCGCGGAAGATTTTATCCCCACTTATAAGCTTGACAGAAATTAATTCTCCGGTGAACTCTTCCACCTTTACTAGAACATTTTCTCCCTTAGTGATGGACATGCCCTCAACTGTGGAGGACGACGCCATCTTCGGAGTAAGACCAAATCTGGCTCACTGATGACTGGTACAAACAAAAGCTCCAAGTGAAAAATTCGACGTGAGAATGGATTCAGTAGTACCTAAAACTAAATCCGACTAGTGCTTTGAGCCATTAGCAAACTATAGATCCGAGAGATCAATAAAAAATATACTTGTATTCAACGCTACAGGTGACATTTTACATATGTGATAGGCTGTCTGCCAGAAACAAAATCAAGCACGTTTTGTTATTTAGAACCTCATTGTGTGATTTTGAATAGTTTGAACGTGTTCCTTCAAAAATTACTGTCGATATCTCATCCTCCGGGGCCTTTGAATCTTCATAAATTTATTTATTTGTAATTATGAATCTGTAATTGTTAGGCCACCATTAGAAACCTGAAAGCACTAAAGGGCCACTTCGTACTAGTATAGGGGCTCATCAGCAGTGCGCACTCAGGACCCCTGAGGGCGGAAGTCGAACCCAAGACCTGCAGACCCGCACGCAAACGCTTAACCTCCAGACCACTGAGCAGTTAGTTGGCTTCCAGATATTTTCGGTATTATCCTTGTGATCTGAATGGTTTCAGAAGATTTCTGATGCGATAGCCCACGATTTTCAAGCTGACATTTGTACGTGAATTTGTTTATGCTCCTTCTGGTCCATAAGTGGTTGAATCTATGTTCCTGTATGTCAGTGAATAGTAGCAGGATATTGACTAAAGTAACCAAGGGTTGCTTTTACTGTGAGGGAAGGACCCGTAACAAACAAAACAAAACATATACAGTCAGATCATGCGTCAAAGCAATAATACACTATCTGTACTTGCGGGCCATTGGAAACACACGGCTTCTTGGATCACCGTATCCTCTTCATTAGTTTGTTCATTGCTGTCGTGTAACCTTTGGCTCCTTAAAGGATTCTTACGATAGTTTTCAGCATATCGCAATATGATTTACTACCTGAACTAGGTCATTCTTACAGATGGAGTGCCAAAACATATCGGCTATGCCGTTGAGCTGTCACAACTAAGATTAAAATCGGCAGATAGTGTTCATCCATTTACTGGCCATCGACCGCTTAATCGTTCGAGTCTTTTCACCGGCATAGTTTTCGTACTTCTTCCGTTATTCATTTCGCCCTAACCTAAAGTTGGTTTGCCGACCACATAATGCATGTCCTAAAACTGCACATTTCATCTCACATTTTCAATTTAGAAGTTGGTCGTATGTGCTCAATCAAATATATTTTCTAGGACTCATTCACAAAATGTCTCGCTTGTGTCTATTATGGATCAGTTTGACCGCTTTGTGAGCCATTTGTTTCGACAGCGATGTTGTTAGCATCATATTCATTGACCATAATGGACTATAAACTGCAGCTCCTGGCGATTCGTTTAGTAACCACTGTCGTTTAATCATAACGGTTAATACCAGCTTCATTTCTTCCAGAGGTACTTCCATTAGTTCAGTAAGATAAGTAACATCCAGAAGATAACTGTTCCGCATTATGCCTCCTCCTAACCAATATTCGTGGATTTTTCAGTGTATTTCAAACAAGCAGTCTGATCTGAGAGGTTTTTTAAAAACTCAGGCTCACTGTCTCGAATATCGGCTTCAAGGCTTCGCTACGCTTTCGAGACGTCAAGAGAGCTAACATTAATCCGTCTACTGACCTAAGATGAAGCATTTTCAGATGCTCATGACTCAGTCTGGCCACACCTACTTTCATTTCCAAGTAACCTGTGCTATTGCGTACACGAACATTAGCCGGGGGTATTTATTGCATAACTCTGACTGCTTTTCTCGGCTTTTCTGATACCCTTGACCTTCAGTGACTTAACTTTCAAACGGACTTTACTTTCATCGCCACGTATGATTGGCCAGTAAATAATAGGTTGCAGTATTCAAACACTAACTTCAGATGTTTGTATCATTGAATGCCAATCCTGTTCATGATATTATGTGAAAGCTTGAATCAAAATTAATAGGACCTATGTAGTAAAGAGACTCCCTGTCAGTACCGCGACTTCCTTGCAGTGGCGTCATAAGATTCGAGTACAGATGACTCGCATTAAATATTCGCTAGTACATGCTTGTCATCCCCTCATATTGCTTTCCGAATGAACGGAGACCACCTTAAAAGAATGGAGAATGAAAACTGGACACGAATGAATAGGTGTCCAATATACCAAAATAATTTACGCCGGTCCGGTTTTACTGTTCCTCTGGCACTTCCGGTTCCAAGCGCGGATAAAGCTTAGGGACTGAGCATAAGGTTAGCTGCCAGATCTAGTAAAAAAGCAATTCGCTGAAAGCCGCTAACCAGGAAAATAATTCAGAATATTTTAACATTTTGCGCTTACAACTTCCGCCTGTGTGCATGTTGAGTCAACCTTTTCTGTGGTTATGTTATATTTGTTCAGAGTACAGCATCACTGAGTCAAACAGTCAGCAATGCCACAGGCCCCACTTAAAACGAACCTTAGAATCCCCTAAGTAAACCTAGTTCACTCAGCACAAAACCGACCGAACAGGTGATAAAGGTAATAATAATAATAGTAATATTAATTTATTCTAAAATAACGAACATGTTACAAGAGGCATGCATATTTACAGGCAAGATCGGAATGTTAAGTTCGGAAACATATTTCTTTTAAAACGGTGTTCAGTCACTGAAATATTTCATAATATACATTGGCTCCATTTACATGGCTAAAAGTTTTCACGTAAAAGTATTGATAATTTTGCAGACTCTACAATGTACAACGCGAATAATTGGCGCGAGTTACGACGGTTGCGTTTCGACGAGCTTCCTAATGACCTTGGAACAATGCAAGGTAGAGCCAGGTCTGCATATAACAAGAGTTGATGAGGTAGATGTGCCAAGAACTGGTTGATAAATTTACAGGCCCTTGGGTGATGTAACCAAGTCTTCGGCAAATAACCAGACTAATACATAAGTATTGGAATAAGGTGCTAGAAAAAGAGAAGCAAAGAGAACGGGGCGAGGAGCAGAATAGAAAATATTCTTGTTCAAAGACGAGCAATGAATCTGCACATACGTTTCTGGATAAAACAGAGGTATGTTTACTTAGACGTTTTTTTCATTAGAACACTAACTGTGTACCTGCATTTATGTAGGTTAATGAAGACAATTCAGTAGTAAGATAACGAACGGACATTTAATCTTATGAATAAAGGAAATTCAGCATAAACAGATTGTTAGCAACAGTGTTGATTTACGGAATATAATGATGAGACACAGTGATCTAATGCTTTTGTAATATTTTATAGATTCTTTTTCTTCTTAACTCTGTGGCTCTAGAAGTCATGATTGAGCTATTTCTCAGTATAAGTGTCCAGATATGCTTGTAATAGGATTTCTTGGTAGGAATTTAAAACCAGTGATAGGTTACGAACATGAGTCGTAGACCTGGTTAACAAGGAAAAGTAACATCAATATCGCTGATTTGCTAGATACGGTCATATCGTAATGAGCCGTAAGCAAACAAAAGGCTCTACCACAGAGACATGTGTAGATTGAGGTTATCGCCCCACCGTCACGAATGCTGGTCAGATACACCACCCTCCCTCCTTTTGTGATGCTAGGCCCTATTACGTTCAACGGTTGATTGTAAAAAATGTTTTCTAGTCTACTTTCTATTTTTTGTACACCTCGTAATTCACTTTCTCTATTAGCTCCACGTTGCAAGCAATCCAGACAACTTTGCCTTCTGTATGAAAGACAAAATATCCACGTAGCATGCGAGACTGAGTTTAAGTAAACTAATTGTATAAATTGTAAGATATGTATCAGTTAAAAGATAGTTCGGAGACAGGAAGGACAGTGAGCTGGAAAAAGAAGAAAGAGAAAAAAGAGTTGAAATTATGTTAAAAATTAATGAGAAAAGCGATATGTTGGCAAACAGGCAGGGTGTTTGGATGCTAATCAATTGAGGAAATAAAAATTTATTAGGCTGTTAATACTTAAACAAGAAGGAACTCACGATGCTACAGGGGGGTTGAGTTCCTTGTAATTGACAGTAGTTGATCAGCATTTACAGGATTTTCAACTTGTCTGTCAACTAGAAATAAAAACTAAAACTGCTTTGAAGATATGAAAATAATGACTAGAATATAAATTTAGAGAAAAGTTAAGGGTAGCACCTTGAAGACGTAACGTATTACAGTTAGTAGGACCAGGGGCATTTATTTGTCATTTCGTGATAAGTGTAGGGATGGTAATGTGGGCATAATATGTTCATAGTCTGTAATTAGTTTCTAAGGTTAAAGTAAATATCTGATGGAGTAAAAGAGAGTGCCTCGAAACTTGGTGTGAGTTCTAAGAATAGTCGATGAATCATTTTAGAGACTAACAACAGGATCATTAGTTTCTTGAACTTAGTGATTGTTTCACCGATATTTCAGTAATTGAATATCTTTTTAAAAGAAATTTGTTGCTAATCTTAACATTTTGATCTTGCCTGTAAATTGGCATGTCTCTTGTAACATGTTTGTTATTTGAGAATAAATTATTATTATTATTATTATAACTTCAACGATTAGCTAGACAAAGTACCTAGACGGTCACAGTGCTACTCGAACCTAGTGCCAGCTGATCACCTATGGAATCTATGCCTTAATCCCAACCTAGTACTAAGAAACTAAAATCCTTGCGCGCAAGAGATTCACCAGGATGAGACTATATTCAGCCTGTAGTTTCGAAAAAATATGCAGAAGCCCGCGGTTCACCGGTGTTTGACCTGTTCAAGAATTCACTGGAGTCACAACAACTCCCAGCTGAATGGAAACAAGCCACTCTTTCCTTCTCAAATCTTTAGAAGAGGTGGGAATGCTCCAATCTGTTACAGAACAGACGAATTACTACCTATATTGTCTGAATTAATGGAAGGACTTATAAATGAGTGAATCAGAGAGTACATGGATAAGAACGAAATCCTGCATGAAGCTCAACACGGGACTCGGTTTGGCAGGCCATGTGCAACCAATCCTTTCGCAGATTGA